ATATATATGTATATATATATGTCTTCGTAATCATGTGCTCGCCCAGTCCCCTACGATTTAGTTTGCTTAACCAGATATGTTATCTCATAGCTCAAATCAGAAGCAGGTGACATCTGCCAGATGAGTGGGTCACCGACTGAACCGCCCATTCAGGGTAGCTTTTAAGCGACACAATATAGTGCTCAACAAGACATGTTTAGTAAAAGGAATGGTGAAATTGTGCAGGTTTAAAACCCGTGTCAACACTTTTAAGTTATATAAGAGACGGAACCTCCGAGTTTAACATCCATCTCCGAAAAGACCGAGCCAAAGGAATTCGTGTCAAGTGCCTTTCCCAAGGACACAACGTCGGACCGAGCTGGCGCTCGAACCTCCAAGCTCGCAAACTTACGATTACTGGTCCGGTAGCTTCATTAGTCATTAGGTCAGCGACGTCAGACATGTTTAGTTCCGTACAAAGAAAGTATTGAATAGGCTAACTGGAACAAACAGTGTTATCTCAGAGACTCATCCCCATATATCTCGCTTTTATTTATTTTATTTTTTTCAATACTTTGTGAGGAGGCAGGATGGAAAGCAACCTTTTTTCCGGTAGAGGTAGGATGCAGAGGTTTCGTAGCATCTAGCGTCCGTAAGTGGATGAGAGTGGCAGGACTTACTGCAAAGAAAAGTAACGAACTCATAAACTCCCTTCAGGAGACAGTAGAGAGAGAGAGAGCCAGTCACTAGATCTGGTTGAAGCGAGTGGACGCAGGCTCATTTTCTACTGATGATCTCCATGCTAGAGTCCGGGATACAGAGCGCTCGGCTGTGAGCAGTGCAAACGTCTGTTTTAGACTATGTTTCCTACCAGTAGCAGGTGTATGCTAAGGACATCCTGGAAAGACAGGACGACAGCCCGGAGTGACGGGTGGACATGGGGAAAGAACGAGGGCGCCGGGAAAGGCCGACGGTGGCAGGGGCTAACTACCCATGTCACTGTAAGCACGAGTTACGTCAGCCACTAGAAAAGACAGCCCCAGGATCCATCGAGGGGGGGGGGGGGGGGGGGTAGAAGATGGATCCACACGGACGGATTCAATGGACAATGACCCAGGCGTGAAAAGGACAAAGCCGGAAGAAAATCAAGAGAACAGCTTTATGTGCGAGCAGTGCTGCAGAAAGTTCGATACCTGGCGAGGGCTGAAAGAGCACCAGGGAAAAGTATGTTTAAGGAAGAGAAGACAGTGCAGAAAGACATATTGTAAGACGCGAAGCAAATCATCCCAGGATGAAAACCACAGCGGAGCGATTAGTGCTTTAGTCGACTCTCGGTTTACCCTGTCTCGGCATGAGATGGAACAGCAAACTTAAGAACCAGGGATATGGAAATTACCTTTATGTTTACTTTGTGTTTATTTTATTCTCTTTACCTTGACCTTTTTATTACATTTCTCTACTTGCGTTATCAAAATGTCGTTACTCCTATTTGAGACAGACAGGGAAAATGGGTCAAGAAATAATAATAACATATTATGTTTGAGCGACGAAGTGAAAATTCGGACCGCATGTCTATGCTTCTCCAAATCTGAATTAGACTTGTAGTGCCTACTAATAGGGTGTCAAAAAAAAGACAAAGAAACAGAGAACCCACCAATGACTCGTACATCTCTTCATATTAATTTCAACTAAAGTTTGAACAAATAAAATTCAACTAAGGAATATCAAATTTGTAAGACAAAAAATCGTCGAAGCATAGCACAGAAATACATGTATTTAATTCTGGTGTCCACTATGTCTTCAGAAGCACTTCCTGGTACTTCATAAGCGGCAATGATTTGGGGGAAGACTTTTCGTCTTGACGATGAGCACGTTTGTCAGATTTTGAAATTGACAATTGGACCAAACATTGGCCTCAGCTGACGGGAAACAGTTTTAGCGAAGAATAAAACAAATGCACATTTCGCTTGATTATGTTTTGGGTGACCACTTGAGTTTTCCCGTTTTTAGTTGTAATACGGATTTTTCAGGACACATAATGTGCGTGATCACAGATTTGTCTTTTACACAGCATCACAAGCCTTTATACGCCGGCAAAATGTGTTGTTTTAGTGGTAGTCAGGAAGAACAATTTTGGAAATCTAACATGATGAGATGTTAACCTGTCATTGGAGTGCGCAGACAGAAAGGCTGTTTTCTACGTCCATACAAGGAGATAGATCTTCTGATGTTTAATGGAACATGTCATTTTAATTTTGATGCTTCCTGATTTGCTGCTCCTTGCCTTGTAATTATATTGACTTTGGAGTCAGGGGAAAAGGCCGGAGTTCATTTTTAAGTGTGAACAACACTGTTAGTTCTAAAGAGAATAGGTAGGCTGTTTTCAATATATAGGCAGAGACATTCCGATGTTAAAGGGGGGTACACACGGGGGGGGGGGGGGGGGGGGGGGGGGACCCCTCCAAAGTCCCGATTCGACTCAAAATTATGGACTTTGAGTTGTAGGCACTTTTAGCTTCCTCAACCTCTCCTACAACTATTGCATCGCAAAAGAACCCCCAAAACCTCATTTCTTCCAATACCGAGCATGTTTGTCAACACCATTTCCTCATAAAGTCAATATTTTATTTTTCTTTATCGGCCGTTTTCTCAAAACGCGACTTTTCTCTATACTTTTTAGAATTTTCCATCCAATCTTCATGAAATTTTCACAGAATGAAGAGAAGATGTAATACTAAAAATTTTTCTCTTGAATTTTTGATATATGAAATAGATTTTTGTTGGTGGTGTCTTGAGTGTGGATTTTCACGGATTTTTTGCAAACTTGAACACTACCTCAGGAAAAATTTCATTAAAAATGTTATAATTCGTTTAGGAAAAAAGCAACAAACAAATTATTAGATCTAACGTTTGTGAAGACGCATGCACAAAAATTCATTACGTAAGACATGTCAACCAAATCCAATATGGCCGCCGTATCCATGGAAACGAAACTTTTTTTCTCAAATTTGAATGCGGATTTTAAGACTTCGTACTATGCTTGTTATATGTGCGAAATGTGGTAAAATTCGGTCCTCTAATAAGCTAGATAGCCTTCAGGTGTAACCCCCCCCCCCCCCCACCTCCTTAATGGGACATGGACTTTTAGTTTTGCTGCTTGTTGAGATTTTACCTTAAGTCTGAACAACCGTTTATGCACAAAAAAGAGGACCCAACACAAGAGTGAAGGCTGAGCAGGCTGGGCCGCCGGGTAAAAAACTCTATGCGCCTCGCTGGCGTTTTGTGCCCGATGGCTTTCGTCCAGTTGGAGATAGGAGGGGTTTTTTCATCTGTGTTTTAATGTTTATTTTTCACCTGGGTCGAATATTGTTTGACTGGGATATACTGTATGTTATACATGCACAGGAAATGGTATATTTCAAAAGTTCTGTCGCTTAGAAATTAGAAGGTTTGTGCACAACGGCAACGATACTATGGGAAACATTTTTGTTGAGCGATTGGCGAGGTCGAAACATTCTGCCTTCGAAATAATCGGTATCGTGTTGATTATGAGGTAGGCCTAAAGCATACTAGGTATAAATGAGTCGACAACATCCAGGTAAGTATTCGACTGCATATTAACGTAACTGCAACATTAGAAGAAAAAAAACCAACAACTTTTTAAACCAGTTTGTCCCTGCCAACTCTTTCTCCTCATTTTTCAACGTAATCGAAGGTCAGGCCCGACGACTTCGTTTTATCCGAGTTTCCACCTATCAACCCATGTGATGACTCCTCTGACTCGCTGACAGAATAGACTTATGAAAATGCTAAGACTACTAACTTCTTGCCACATTTTGTTCTATTTTTTACACCCCTGAATGTGCATATCTTTTCGTGTTTCGATTATAGATACTGTAAACACTAAATGTGATGTGCCAATGATAAAGAGTAATTAATTAACCAGTCACTAATTGGGAACATAATTTTAATTTTCATAATGTCGTGGGTGCACTTAACTATCACTAAAATATGGTTAAAGTCGAACAAGTAGTTGCTGAGATATTTAGCTTCAAACGTGTTCAAGAATTATGGGACGGACTATGTACATGGCGTGTTTGTTGCCCTACGTCTGTGCTTTCATATTTTGAAAACGGAGAAAGGAATGTGGCCAATAACCTTTGTAATATTTTTCATCATCAATGTAGTTGCGTTCCGTAACAAAAGATTAACACGTCTAGGTTAACTTGTGTGCTTACAAATTATCGCTGTCGGCATTCGTCACCGATCCCGAGGCACTTCTGTGATCGTCAGAGCATGTAAAAAAAGCAGCAGGATAACAATTTAATATTGAACAAAAAGACACGCCTTCCTGTTTTGTCGTCCTGGTTTATCCAGGCATTACATGATCACTGTTTGTCAAGGTGTTCTTCCTCTGCAAACACACTAATGGCTCAACCTGCAACATTCTGTTTTGGGTGTTGGGTGTTTGGGGGCGGGGGGGGGGGGGGGGGGGGGGGGGGATGTCAAAGACAGTGTGGCAATTGCAATTGACATAATTTTAGAATGTCAAAACACCATGAAGTGGGAATGTCTTTGATTAAAAGAAACGCATCGACTAGTTCGGACACATTCACACACAGCCTCCTCCTCCTTTCCATATACACATGTGCAGATCACACACACATACATGCTCTCACACACATACATACACACACACACAAACACACACGCACAAACACACAAACACACACAAACACACACGCATGCACGCACACACATACACACACTTCACAGAGACATACACACACAAACTGTCCCATACGCGCAAAAGTTAATATGCACAAACAAAATTGCACGCATTCATTCATTCCAAATGAAATGAAATGCACAGCAAGCCTCTTCCCGGGAAAATAAGCGTACACCTTCACTTTTGTCATGTTGTGAACTAGCGTCATGCCCATGCAAGTTAATTCACATAACTTGCTCTCTCTCTCTCTCTCTCTCTCTCTCTCTCTCTCTCTCTCTCTCTCTCTCTCTCTCTCTCTCTCTCTCCCTCACACACACACACATACACACACACACACACACACACACACACACACACACACACACACACACACACACACACACACTCACACACAAACACACACCCCGCTCGCGCGCGCGCGTGCGGGTGCGCTCTCACTGTCAGGCGTATGAATGCATTCTGACTCCAGCACTCGGTTACAGAGCGTCACCCCGGTTAAGTCGTAACTGCCTGTCCAACGAAAAATTCTCTCAGCCAATGTGGAGAATCCTGGACTGTCCCGCTCGACACTTCGGTGATGTTTATGAATAGTTTTCTCAAGGCCATCTCTTTCCTTGTTCAGCCTTGTCGAAGTTTTGTTGTTTTAAGTAGAAGTATCTGCCTTCCGTCCGGCATCTCTGGTGCAGCGGTTAGGCGCTTCGTTGTTGGATGCAAGAGACGCGAGTTCGATTCCCTAATTATGGAGAATTCTTACCGAGTTCCTCGGCCTTTCTGCTAAGATACTGCATCCCATCTCCGCCTAGGTTGGCAGTGAGAGTCATGGTCGGAAGCCCGCCTCCTAAATGATCTTTACAATGGAACTCAGGTTCAACGAAGTCTTTGGGCCTGACCTTCAATTTCATTGAATCCGAGTGTTCGTTATAGCAAACATTACATTTTTGTGTAGGTAATTACAGGCACCGAGCAATTAATGTATAATTAACATATTTGACTTTCACAATCAAAAGTACTTTAGTTTTAAATCAGAGGCACGTTGGTTTCTTTGATGCCATACCGAATAAATACTGGAAAATTCTAGAAACTGAATTCTACCAAGCTCACACTGTGCAAAAGGGAAGGTTCGTTCAAAGTATGCCTGTGTCATCTAGCATATTATATAACGTATTGTTTGTCGAACAAGTTAAATATGTTGCTGTGTAGAGACTAGCATACGGAGCACCCAGACCGCCCAACCCCGAAACAAGCTAAGATATGGGTTCGTGTTAACAATGCGCGTGTTGGTATGAAAGAAGGCAGTTGATTGGTCGCATATATAAACAATGAGATAAGCAAATAATGGTTCACGATGCAGGTGTTATGGGTGGTTTCCAGGAACAGATAAGGCCCGTTGAGAGAGAAAAATGAGTGAAGCGACCTGCAAGCGACTTCGTTGAATCCAAGCTTGCCCATTTATGTGTTAATTGAATCCGAGTTATTTTTATTGATTTTTATGTACAAATAATACGAGGAATCCAACTTCTTTCGTTGAATCCGAGTTTTCGTTGAATCCGAGTTTTCGTTGAATCCAAGTTCCATTTATGGTTTCAATGGGGACGTAAAAATACCTATACTAAAATAATAACAAATTAAACCTTTAAATTTTTTCTTTCGATCTGATTGGGTCTTGATACTTAAATTGATTATTTCCTCAAGTTCTTGACAAATTATGCACCGTTGTTGAGGCTAGGGACGCAGCTTTGTCTTTTTTGCTTTAACTTCCAGTCTTTTTGATTCAGCACATCAGATTGCTTTATTCAAGACAGACGGGCTTAGAAAATATATAATCTCTCGTGTGCCTAATTCACATCTAATTATTGTTGTTTCCAGTTTGCTAGATAGTGGCTGCAGGTCTATGATAATGAGATGGGATGGAAGCCTATATTCCAGTTCCAGGGGATGTGGCAGTTTAGCAATCTCTAAATAGCCAGTTTGGTATAGTGAAGGAATAATAATAATAATAATAATATGATGTACGCACTTTGATGTGCAGTATATTGTATCTTATGAGTCTTTCTATTGTAACATAAATAGCATATTGTATAACATTCTGGGTTTTTTTTTCCTTATTCACTATTGCTACTTCCCTCTATACGATACACAAATTTTCCCACAAATCACCACAAATGAAGGGATTTTGGGCCTCTCCATCATTCCCCCTGGCTGACTCACTACACACTTTCCTTCTTTTTTTCACTCTCCGTAGTTTACTGTTGTCAAGACAATTCACACAACACGCTTTCATAGATCCCCCATCGAGTTCTCTTTTCCGCTTCCCGTACGCAACAGGTGGTGAGACCGTGGTTTTATTTCTCTGGACGGGGAGGCGAGATACCAGGAAGCTGGCAAATGTCCCTTTATTCATGTTTCAATCATCTTCTTAATGAGCAGTTATGATATCAATTCCATGTTTTTTGTTATTTGTTTTTGTTCTTCAACTGAGTAGTATCGTGGAAACCATCAAGTATACGGATATTAATTTATTTTTTAAAAAGGTTAGATTCTACATGAAGCTTAACATCTGAATTATATGTTAATTAGATCTTTAAAAACTTGTGTGTTTGTTTGAAAACTAGGGTAAAGTACGTCATCATAGTAAGGATTCGTCACAATCTTCGCTGTTTCGCTGTGCATTAATGGTTACCCCAGAGGGCACTGTCTTCATGACGTCACTCATAGGCTGCTTGTTGGTCTCGGGCAGAGCAAGCGTCATGAGACAACACAGTACGGACATGACGCCAATCACTAGGAAGGAGATGTACATGTGGTCGCTGTCACGAGGTATCAGGTACGGAGCCACTATGCCCCCAGCTCGGGAGGCGGCTGAACTCAGGCCGAAGCTCAGAGTTCTCACTGATGTCGGGAAAAGCTCGATGAAGAATGGAACCATGACGTTCCATGCCAGTCCCAGGAAAGCATTCGTAGCAAGTGCGAGACAGGTGCTGACGTAAGCACCCGTGGAGCTGTGCATGGTCATGGAGACAACAGCTATCGAAAACGAAAAGATACCAGCTACAATAAGGAAAATCACAGTGGCCTTTCGCCTGCCCAAATTGTTCCCTAATATAAAAGTGAGAGGAAACACTGGAACGATAAAAACAGCGTAGAGTATAAAATTCAAATAAAAATTGCCGAATAGTGATCCTATACCGAAACTTATAGTGTAGTACATGACTGCAATGAGGAATGCACAAGAACAAGTCAGTATAGTTTTCTGCAAAAGTTCTCTTCGAAAAAGCATGACGAGGCTGGGTCTTTTGTCCTCTTCACAACCTTCGCTTCCTGAGAAATCAATTTCACTAAAGGATGGTTTCGGTTTTCGATTAAGCTTGCATATTTGTAAAGCAACCTTCATACTTTTCTCTGTGTGTCCATGCACAGCCAGCCATCGCAAACTCTCTGGTACCCAAAAGACTGTCAGGAAAATTAGGGCACACATTACTGCAGTTGCTATCTGCACATTTCTCCAGTCTTTTAGGAGATAGAGGCATACGCCAAACGTAAGAGAGCCGATGTTCCACGCAGGGACACTGCTAATGATGATCCTCCACTTGCCATTTGCGAATTCTAACGGGTACGCTAGACTTGTAGCCACAACCCCACCCACTCCGATTCCTAGAAAAAAGCGGACAGCTGTTAACATCTCCCAGCTGACTGAGAAAACTGCAATGACGTTAGTCACACCAATAATGGCCACCCATAGATACACGCTCACTTTACGACCACACAGTTCTCCGATCTGGCCTCCGAGGACTGAGCCTATAGTGACACCAACCATCTGGACGGAGACCATAACAGGGATGACCCATCCACGATCGCAGATTAGGTTCCATTCTGTCAAAACCGTGGAGGACTCTGTATCGAATCTGAAGTTCGAGCAGGAACTGGCAGCGAGACAAATATCTTCAACACTACTTGTGTTGGACTCAGACGTATTGTATGTTGATGTATTCGTGGACGCTGAACTGAAGGTGTTTGTCCCATTCAGATAAAGTAAGGACGTCTGACCTGTAAAAAGAAGTGGATTTATAATGATCACATAATGCTTCATACACGCCAAGACTTCTTTTTCTTCTACTCTTACCCCTTCTCCTCCTCCACCCCCTTCTCTTCTTCTTCTTCTTCTTCTTCTTCTTCTTCTTCTTCTTCTTCTTCTTCTTCTTCTTCTTCTTCTTCTTCTTCTTCTTCTTCTTCTTCTTCTTCTTCTTCTTCTTCAGTTGGACGTTGATTCTCGAACCTTTCTATTAAAAAAACCCACCTCGCCTCTTGCCATTCCGCTGGCTTGGGTTGTTTTGATTCCAAGCCAGGTTTCTATGTCCTGTACCCATCTTTTGTTAGCTACCCCCCCCCCCCCCCAAAACCTTCTTCCCTTAACCCTTTGCTTCAAGAATTTTTTAATAGTGAATTGATATGCGCAAAGTAATTCAGTTTCAGTTTCATTTTATTCTCGGGGGAGTGTTGGCCTTATATATGTCTATAGGCCCAATAATAAATAGCATTTATGCTTCGCATTTCCATTTTCTAAAAAAGAAAAGTGCTCAATGCGCATTAATTCATAGAGATGTCAAATGTTTTTAAAACGATGTACAGGTGCGTGCATAAAACACAGTATAAAGTGTATATATATATGCATTAAAAAATTTCTATGAGAAAAAAAAAGAAAAGAAAAATACAATAAGAACTCACGAACGGTCACAATAAAACTGAAACTACAGGAAGAATAAAATATCCTACTTTTTTGGGGTTGTTTTTGGTTTGTTTGCTTTATTTTGTTTGTTGTTGTTTTTTTTGGGGGGGTTTATTGTTGTTTTTTAACAGGAGCGTGTTCGTCTAAAGTATTTCTCATGACGGTGTCGAGGATTTCAATATTGATAGGTGAACTCGTATAGCTAGAGTGTGACGAATATCACATTGAAACTGATGTCAATTGATATCTTTCAGTTTGCGAGAATGAACTGTTTTTATTTCCTTCCTTTGCATTTTGGTGTCTAAATCAACAATCAGAAGAAAATGACCTGAAATGTCTTTATTCAGAACGTTCATACTTTTCAGTTATTCTCAGCAGAGGAAATACCCCAATCTAGGGTGTGCTGACATTCATGCCTTGGTACTTAATAACTTAAATCTTTTTCTGTCTGCAGGTTGCATAATAAAATTATATTTTTAGTGACAGGGTTTTCAGAGCCAAAATGAAAATTAAAATCGCGTCTAAAATGAATGGTGAGTTTTTCATCTTTAAAGTTGGAATGAAATTTAGAAAATCCTCCGTACAAGCGGATGGTCTGATACAATTTTACTTTACTCGGTGGGGGCCTGTAAAAGCAGCAGATGGAAGTTCTTCCGGACTGCAGCTGGAATTACAGTAAGGCTGCCTCACATGAGTGAAAGGGAATCTTTTTCCGCTAACTTTTGCTAAATTAGTTCTATAAATAAAAGCTACTCCTCCTCCTCTGCGCTCGACACTTGGGTAAGACTTAATTAAATAAACAACTAGGCATATTGCTTCAAAATAGAATCATCACCGTACTCCTGCAATCAGGCATCTGTAAGGCCGACTTTCTCTTGGGAGGCACACGGCACACGGCTCACTGCATGTCGGCGCACGACGTGCAACCTGTCTTGACCCCCTCACAAAGGAGACGCGACAAGTTGGAACATTGTCGGCAGTCACAATTCATTTCGTCATCATGGATGAAGATACTTTGATTGCGCTAGCGTTGCTAATAAATACAAAGAAGAAGAGAAATTTATAATAGGCGCACCATGTGATGTTGTGAACATTAGTTTCTCTTGAAGAGCACAAGAGGAGTCGAGTTTCAAGGAACTTTCTGCCCATTGATGACGCTCATAAATGACAAATTGTTCTTCAACTATCTAAGAATGTCATGCGAAACTTATGCAGAACTCAAGACACTAGTGCTTTCAGATAGAGAACCCGTCGGTTGTGATTGGTGGGATCCAATCTGTAAATGAAAAATTAGTCGTGGCTCAAAGTTTCTGCTGGTAGTCATCCCTCTCGAGTTCACCTGTACTATCATACACTTCACAAAAGGTGAACAGGTTGACTTTTCAACTCACGCGGTTTTCGTTACCGCTGTTTTGTGTCGTCCTATGTAGGCGAAGGCGGTACCATAAATTTGTGTGCCCACTTTTGTTTTCGTGCGTGAGATGACTTGAGTGCCGCGTGCCATGTGCCATGTGCTTTCTTAGGGAAGGCCGGCCTAATACATCGAGATTCATTTCAATAATTATATCACTTAATTCGTCCGCTTTAGGACCACACAATGAGAAAAATAGGTCCAGTTAAAAAAGACCAAGCCAATCATGGCGAACTGAAAAACTGCTAATTTCGTTTTTGTAAAAATATTATATCTCTCCATGCACTGTCAAATAACGATTACACTGGTATGAAAATCCACTATAGATGAATTACAAAAAAACACCCCAAAAAAAACACGTAACTATGGAGAGAGATTATGGGGCAACCTGTCAACACAGCTCACAAACGGTCCAACCTATTCTTCTTAGTAGGCCTATTTTTAATTTTTAAAAACCTCTGTCTCCATGATATTCTTATAGTTCTGCTTTAACATTTCATCTCGAAAGCGGTAATCCTTTTCGTACCTTGTTCATTAATGAGCCATGCTTTACATTCATTAGGGAGTAAATATGGCATCACGGTTCGAACATTTCCTATTACTATATATA